AAGACCAGTCCCCAGTAGTGCAATGCACGAAGTGCTTGGGCTTTGGTCACGGCCGCAAATATTGCAAGGAAACGGAAGACCTATGCTCTCACTGTGGAGGAAAGCACCTCAAAGCAGATTGTCCAAGCCACAAGAGTGGTAATGAGGCAAAATACAAAAACTGCATGGATGTAAAAATCGAAAATGCGGGTCATAATGCTTTTCACAGCAGATGCCCAGTCCGCCAGAAATGGGACAGCTTGGCGCGGCTGAGCATCTGTTATTGCTAAAGTTGCCACGGGGATAAACCACGCAGCGACGAACCAACAGGAAGAATCCCACAACTGGATAGTACAAGTGAACTTACAAAGAAGTAAGATTGCAACCCAAGACCTCATAACCGAAGCAGTAGAAAGAAAAGCTGCTATAGCAATGGTACAGGAACCATATGTGGGATCAACAGGACAATTGAAGAGACATGCGGGTACGAGAGTTATACAGAAAGAACAAAATAGAACAAAACCAGTAAAATCAGCTATAATTGTATTTGACAACAGACTAAAAGTAATGATTAATCCAATGCTACAAACTGAAAATATAACTACTGCAATAATAACAAACCGGAGACCATATATAGCTCTTGTATCCGTTTATTTCGAACCAGACACCGATCTGGACACTTACCTGGAAGATCTCAGCAAAATCCTGGACGAGCTTAATGGATGTGGGATTGTTCTTGGAGGTGACGTCAATGCGTGGAGTACTTGGTGGAGCAGTGTAGCTGAAGACCATCGGGGTGCTACACTTTCCGCATACCTGGAAGAAAAAGAGTTGCATATTGTTAATGAAGGAGATGAACCTACATTTGAAGTGCTGAGGGGCGGAAAATTATGCACAAGTAGAGTGGATGTAACAGCATGTTCGGAGCAACTTATACAAAAGATCACAAATTGGACGGTGAATAGGGATCTTATAAATTCCGACCACAAAGCCATTACATTCACTCTTACTATAGGAAAGCGAAATGAAATCATGGAAAGAAAAAGTACACGAAAATACAAAAGTAATAAAGCGGATTGGGAAAAATTTGACAGTGAAATTAACAGACTTATTGATTGTAGAAGAATATCCAAGGAGTATATAGAAAATATAAACACCAAAGAAGAAATAGAAAAATGTATCTCGGATTACACGGAAATAATAGACTGGGCTTGTATAGCTTCAATGCCAAAAATAGGACAAAGAAAACCAGGTCTTTACCCCTGGTGGAGTCAAGACCTGGCCAATCTAAAACATGACATGACTACCAAAAAACGAAGAATAAGATGTGCAGCTGAAAATAGAAGACCTTTAGTCGTGCAAGACTACCTCGAAGCAAAAGGAAAATATGAGACAGAAGTCAACAAAGCCCAAACGAGTAGTTGGAAAAATTTTTGCACCAAACAAGAGAAGGAAACTATGTGGGATAGTATATACCGTATTATAAAGTCTGCATCAAAGCAACAACAAGATGAATTACTAATCAAGGATGGAAAAGTGCTAAATCCAAAACAGTCAGCCGAGTGGATGGCAAAAACGTTCTTCCCTGAGGACAATGAAAGTGAAGACACAGAATTCCACAAGGAGCTTAGAAACAAGGCAGAAACTACCCAGATCCAGTTACCACATGATACAGTAGATAAGCCCTTTACATTTGAAGAACTTCAACAAGTTATTAAATCTTTTAACCCCAAAAAAGCGCCTGGCAATGACGGATTTACATCCGATATCTGCGCCAGAGCAATAAACAACAGAATAGATACATTCCTCTCCATTTTGAACAAATGCTTGGAAATCGGATGCTTCCCTGATGAATGGAAGAAGGCAGCCATCGTGACGATTAGAAAACCGGGAAAGTCCAATTATAGCCAACCAAAATCATATCGTCCGATTGGCCTTCTTCCAGTCTTAGGGAAGATTTACGAAAAATTATTGATCAATAGAATAAAATTCTACACACTACCCAAGATGAATAAAAATCAATACGGCTTCGTTCCGCAACGCGGCACCGAGGACTCCTTATATGATATGATGCAAACAATAAAACGCAATTTAGAAAAGCAAAAGATGATAACGGTTGTATCATTAGATATTGAAGGAGCTTTCGATGCTGCATGGTGGCCAGCAATTAAGTATCAATTAAGAGAAAAGGGCTGCCCAACGAATATAAGGAGAATAGTAAACGACTATTTCAGAAACAGGAAAATATACCTGAACTATGCAGATGAGAAAATTGAACTCCAAACAACAAAGGGATGCGTACAGGGATCAGTAGGAGGTCCCACCTTTTGGAATCTCCTTTTGAACCCACTACTGGACGAACTAGAGAAACAGGGAGTGCAGGTTCAAGCGTTTGCGGACGATATTGTCCTTATATTCGTTAGCAAAAATTAATCCAATACAAAAGCTCTTTCATTTACCATCTCTCGCCGAAGCCTCCACATTATTCATCATCATCATCATCATCAACAGCCCCTCATAGTCCACTACTGGACATAGGCCTCTCCATATGCACGCCACTCAGATCGATCTTGGGCTACTCGCATCCAGCTCCTGCCACCTTGCGCAAATCGTCACTCCATCGTGCCTGAGGACGTCCTACACTGCGTTTGCCTAGACGCGGTGTCCACTCCAGAACTCGTCTACCCCAACGGTTATCGGTTCTTCGGCAAATATGGCCAGCCCACTGCCACTTCAACTTGCTAATCCGGTGGGCTATGTCGATAACTCTAGTTCTCTGTCGGATTACCTCATTTCTGATGCGATCCTTCAGAGAAACGCCGAGCATAGCCCTTTCCATAGCGCGCTAGCGACTTTGAACCTGTGGACCAGCCGTTCCGTCAGTGTCCACGTCTCGGCTCCGTATGTCATCACAGGTAGGACGCACTGATTGAAGAATTTCGTCTTTAGGCACTGTGGGATCGATGATGTCAGGACTTGACGTAGCTTCCCAAACGCTGCCCAATCTAGCTGAACTCTTCTATTCACCTCGTCCTCAAAGTTGTTTCTACCTAACTGCAATGTCTGCCCGAGGTATACATATTTTTGAACAACTTCGAGAACGGCACCGTGTATTGCAATCGGTTCCGGTAGAACATATTCATTGAACATGACCTTGGTTTTATCCAAGTTCATCCGTAGGCCGATGCGTATAGAAGAGTCAGCCAGGTCATTCAGCATCTGTTGTAGGTCCTGCAGGGTTTCTGCCATGATGACGATGTCGTCTGCAAATCGCAAGTGAGAGATGCGTTCGCCATTTATGTTGATGCCATGTCGTTTCCAGTTCAGCGTCTTGAACATATCCTCTATTGCATTAGTGAACAATTTCGGGGAAATAACGTCCCCTTGTCTCACTCCACGATGCAACGGTATGGGACTTGTTTGCTGATTCTGTACTTGGACAGACATGGTGGCGGCTTCGTAGAGACATCTTATCACTTGGATGTATCGCCAGTCGACTTGGCAACGCTGCAGGGACTCCAGGACAGACCAGATTTCAATCGAGTCAAAGGCCTTCTCATAGTCCACAAATGCTAGGCACAGGGGCTGATTGTACTCCTCAGTCTTCTGTATAATCTGCCGCACTGTGTGGATGTGGTCTATGGTGCCGTATCCGCTCCGAAACCCAGCCTGTTCCGATGGTTGGAAGTCATCAAATCTTCGCGCAAGACGGTTCGCGATCACTCTTGAGAACAGCTTATAGACGTGGCTTAGAAGGGATATGGGTCGATAGTTCTTAAGTTGGGTCTTGTCCCCCTTTTTAAAGAACAAGACGATACACTCCTACTCCACGCCTCCGGAGTTCTCCCTTTGAACAGGACAGTGTAAAAACGCTTTTGGAGCTCCCTCAGTACGGGTTTACCTCCAGCTTTCAAGAGTTCTGTTGTAACACCATCCTCTCCAGGGGCTTTTCCATTTTTAAGCTGTCCAAGAGCAATCTCGATTTCGCCAATACTGACTTCTGACAGGTTGTAGCATCATAATTTTATAAGTAATTTTATACTAATATTATTAATTTTATAGCGCCATCTATCATCATACACATAAATCCACGAATATTGTAATCTGCTTAAACAAGCACGGAATAATATAGCACGCCCACCACCACAGGGGTGTCTACGATGATGGGCGCCGTCGGTCTTCTGCGGCACCCTTCACCCGCCTCCGAGAAGGCCCGCCTTAAAGCTGTGAGCTCCTGGCGAACCTTCGAGAGCTCGTCTTGCAGACGCTTGTTGTCCGCCTGCAGACAACGCATCTCCTCTGCCGGGTCCTTTTGCGCCAGGGCGCGGACCACGGCCATCAGAGAACCTGCATTGGCGCGTATCCTTTTTATGCAGGTCCCTTTTAGATTTTTGGCCCTTTTTGCGACCTCCGTCACCTCGCCAACCCTCTTCGAGACCTCCGCCACCAGGACTCCGTGTCAGAGTCCGACTCTTTCACCCTGGCCTGGGATATGCCGACGCTGTGTGTCAGAGCATTTCCGCCGCCTCTGCCTCCTCTTCCCCCCTTGGCTCTGGGCACTTTAGGCGCAGGTGTCGCCACTGACGGGGCGTCCTTAAGGTAACTAGACGCCACCGACCGCCTCTTGCGGCTTGTGACCGAACCGGTCATCGATTCGGCCGCCGACTCCGCCTTAAACTCAACCCGCAGGTTGGACGTAGACCCTGCAAAAGGCTGTGTTTCCGATAGTGAAATCGGCTGACATTCGGGACTAAGCGTCAGGGTCACCGAGCTCCTTCGTGACCCCTTTGGCTGCACTTGACCAGACCGACTCCTGGTCATTCGCCTTTCCGCCTGTGCAACACTCACTTCTCACCCTCCTACTTCCTCCTTCTCCGGCCTCTCCAGGCTCTCACCAATTCTCTAATTCCTCTTCTCCTCCTCACTCTTCATATGGTTTTTGTTTTTATTATTAAGATCCATTATTGTTCCCACGAGTCTGGGGGAAATATACGGTCCACCCAGGCGAGAAAATGAGAAGCAGGTATGATTGGAATGCCGACGCTCGAGGCTTCGTGGAGGGAGAGTTCGTTTGGTTGCACAAACCACATAAAAGGATTGAAAAGTCCCCAAAGCTTCAGCCCCGCTGGGAAGGACGTACTATAATTGTTGACGTGACGTGTTAAGCTCTGTACTATAATACGGTTAAAGATATTTTATAAAAGAATTAAAAACTTGTAAAATTGTTTTTTGCGAAGCACCTTGTACACGCCGAGCCAATTTTGAGCATTATACTTTGTAGTAGTAGAGTAAATTTTGAGCAGTTAAGTACTGAGGGCCAGGTAAATTGGATTTTCTTTATTTGTACAGCGAGCGAGCTCCTAATATGTACGTAGTCCTACCTTTAATTACCTTCATCAAAATTATTTATGTACTTATTATTTATTTTAAACTTTCTTGACCAAAATATATAACAATGGTACAAAAGGCGGACTTAATGCTAAAAGCATTCTCTCCCAGTCAACCTTTGGGAAAAATGAAAAACACGAACGGCGAAAATATTATTTAGATGGGTCAGATACAGCAATATGGTAATGGTGTCAGTTGTGGCATCATTCTCTAAACTTAAAACTAAATTTAACATCAGTCTCTCCCTTTCATTCTATGTAGAGAATGACAAGGATACACTGTTGTCAAATTTAAGTTTAGGTTTAGAGAACCATGCCAGAATCGACACCAATGAGTGCTATCGCGTATGAATCCGCCGCTAGAGGCACTAGTGTAGTGTGTGGTCTCCAAATGGACAAGAATTCTGCAAAATTTGGCCACTAGGGGCGCTGTAATCGCTTGACCCAAAACTTCGATCAAATACATACTATTAGCTTATTACTATTAATTTTTGAGCTTTTTATTTAATAACATACAAATGCCGAGTTGTGCAGTTCCTGGTTGTTGTGAGTAAACTGCATGATTACCGACTAAAATGTAATTTTATATGTTACTTTGAAAGGGAGGGGAGGGGAGGGTTAAACTGAGCTGCTATTTACATCATTGTATGTATCTGGGGCAGGTAATTGCATCTGGATGTCTTCATTTTGATCAGAAAAAACTACACCAAAGTTAAAATTGCGGTCATATGCCTCAAGTCTTACCCCACCGGGATTCGAACCCGGGACCTCTAGAGTCGGCGACACCATGAAACCTGGCGTGCAAACCACTCGGCCACGGAGGTCGTCGTATGTAATACTGTGAGAGCAATAAAAAAAATCTATTCTATTCTAATCAAAAATTCGCGCGCATTCAACGGAATGCACGCGTTTGCGCGCGAATTTCGCTGATTATCAGCTCACAAGGTATATTTAGATTTCGTTGCAGATATATATAATAATGAATTTTCTTTGTTAAGTTTTCAAGATCTTTCTCAAGATTCGACTCTGCGCTAGATTGTGTGTGTATGGGATAGATCAAAATGCTGTGCTTCGCTTCGTATTATAAGATCATTTCGTACTCATCTAATTCATACTACCAGTGTCTGCCAGTGAATCATCATCATCATCAGCCTATTAATGTCCCCACTGCTGGGGCACAGGCCTTCCCTATAGATGGAATAGGGAGATCGGGCCATGACCCACCACGCGAGCCCAGTGCGGATTGGTGGGTGCTAACGACTGCAGATGCAGCCGGGACCAACGGCTTAACGTGCCTTCCGAAGCACGGAGGATCTCGAGATAGTAAATCTTTGGTCACCCATCCGATGACCGACCACTGCGAAAGTTGCTTAACTTCAACGATCGCAGCCGAACGCGCTAACCACTTGCGCCATCGAGCTCCCCAGTGAACAAACTGCCAGTGAATAATGGGATGCATTAATTTAAAACAAGATGTAGGTGTAAATTATTTATTATAATTTATAATATTATATATACAAATGCAACACGAACGTGTAGCGTTCGTTCATTCTTCTTCTTGGAGTGTGAATAACTTGGCCACCTCGAACAAGTCCTCGAACTCGCCCTGCGCCAGGACCTGAAACAAACATATTGTCACAAAGGGGCCGTCCATATATTACGTCATTCTAAATTAGGGGGGGGGGGTTGGTCTGCGGATGACGGTAAATGATAGATAGGGGGGGGGGTGTTTCGAAATTGACGTCATTCTTATTTATTTATAGTTTATTGTTCACGTACAAAAAGATTATTTCTAAAAAGAAATTTCTTCCAGCACACCTAGTAAGTGAGACTGCAAATGTGAGAGGCGGCTAAGGCGCGTACAATACTAAAATAACTCATAATAAACATACATAATGCAACATAGATGTACACAAATACAGTAATAACTACAGATAAAATACTCTAACAATAATATTACATATAATACTAGCTTTTCTCAAATCTGACGTCAATTTTGGGAGAAGGGGGGGGGGGGGGGGGTCATTAAGAAATGACGATAGGATGATTGTAGGGGGGGGGGGGTCTAAAATCTGAAAAAATCGATGACGTAATTTATGGACGGCCCCAAACGCTCTCGAAACGTAACCGCGAAAGTGCCAGAGATCGAATTTGCCAGATCACCGCGGGTCGCGATAGAGGTCGAGTAATGCGGCTCATTCTGAAATGAGCCTTATGCAGTGCGGCGTAAGGGAGAAAGTGCAACGACATCTGCACTTGTTTACAAGTTATGCGCGTTACCTGCGTAGGTATAAGTAGTATTTCGTACTCGCGGGTGCTAGTTAATTCTCAATTTAACAGGTACTTTCTAGAATGCGTCGATCGGCGTATATAAGCGCGATTGGCGCCGCGCAGAGACAGTTGAGTTTCGACAGACAGCGATTTCGGAGCAAATTCAAAGGCGATCAAAGTGCAACAAAAGTGTTCCAGTGCGTTTGTTTAGAGACTTGTATAGTGAAATACAGTGTTTAGTGAGTGTTCTGTGATTAACATTGTGTATTAACTGTGTGGTGAATAAAGTACTGTCAAGCGTGAACTGGCATATAATTTCGAACCCCATCCCGACACGTCACAATACGATTAATATAAGTATACAAAAATAGGTCGATTTACGTAACAGCTGCATCCAGAAATACAAATTTTTTTTTTCGATCAAATGTGGTTCTGTAATGCCGGCATTTCACTTGCCCATACAAATAGCCAAGTGAAGTGCCGGCATGATATTCTTTGCAATGGTAATAGGATAAAATCTAAATATATGAAAGAAGAATCTGATTGACTGACTGACAATCAATGCACAGCCTAAACCGGTGGGCCAGGCTCCAAATTTTCCTTATGGGGTATAGGTGTGGACTAACAAAGGATTTTTCAAAAATCATCCTTGAAGGGTTTAAAATAAGGTATGAAAAATCGAATTCTTTGAGTTAATGGACTTAAAGCTTGGTACGAATACTTATCTAGATAATTTAATAATACCCCTGTACATACAGCCACACATCGAGTTACCACACAACAAACTTTCTCAATACATTGTGAATCTTATTTCAATAACGGTAAAGCTCAGTCAGTTGAAAGAAAGACTGATAAGAGAATGGGCGTGGCGAAAAACGAAACTAATATTAAGAATTATATTTGGCAATCAAACCCAGCAATCTGTTATACGTCAAAGTTTTGTATTGATACGGATTTGTTTGTTGTTGTGATTTCTTGCGGTTTTTTTGTATTTAATCATGTCTAAAAGGGGTAAAACCTTACAAATACTGTAGAAAAGCACTACAGCGCCCTCCAATCTAAATCCCATTCTCTTTCCGCACAGACTCTAAGGGTAACTAATAGTGTGGAGTTATTCGCAATTTATTATTGTTTTCTATTTTATAACTTGCAGCCGCCCACGTATTGGTTTTTTGAGACTAAAAGTCTAAAAAGTATCAGGTTATAAACTACATGCGTACCAAATTTCATCCGAATCCGTTCAGTAGTTTTTGCGTGATTGAGTAACAAACGCACAAACTTTCACATTTTATAAAATCAATACGGCTATTAGTAAAAATACTATTTTAATTCTTAAAAAATATTGATAAACAATAATTCCCATCCGAATATTGCGTAATGTTTCTCCCAGACGCAGGTACGTCTGTTGCCACGAAGCTTACTCTATGATTGCGATAAATTTGCGAGTGATGGTTCCTGTCAGTGGGTCAGTGGGTCAGTGGGTCAGTGGGTCACCCCTCACCTGCCTGGCCACGTGCATCCGGTTGAAGAGGTTCCACAGCAGCACTCCGACCACGCGTTGTTCCCGCAGGTAGAATATCACGCCGCGCTGGTAGCGCCGCCTGCGGCCGAGCGACGACTGCCTGCAGTGATGGTTCCTGTCAGTGGGTCAGTGGGTCAGTGGGTCACCCCTCACCTGCCTGGCCACGTGCATCCGGTTGAAGAGGTTCCACAGCAGCACTCCGACCACGCGTTGTTCCCGCAGGTAGAATATCACGCCGCGCTGGTAGCGCCGCCTGCGGCCGAGCGACGACTGCCTGCAGTGATGGTTCCTGTCAGTGGGTCAGTGGGTCAGTGGGTCACCCCTCACCTGCCTGGCCACGTGCATCCGGTTGAAGAGGTTCCACAGCAGCACTCCGACCACGCGTTGTTCCCGCAGGTAGAATATCACGCCGCGCTGGTAGCGCCGCCTGCGGCCGAGCGACGACTGCCTGCAGTGATGGTTCCTGTCAGTGGGTCAGTGGGTCAGTGGGTCACCCCTCACCTGCCTGGCCACGTGCATCCGGTTGAAGAGGTTCCACAGCAGCACTCCGACCACGCGTTGTTCCCGCAGGTAGAATATCACGCCGCGCTGGTAGCGCCGCCTGCGGCCGAGCGACGACTGCCTGCAGTGATGGTTCCTGTCAGTGGGTCAGTGGGTCAGTGGGTCACCCCTCACCTGCCTGGCCACGTGCATCCGGTTGAAGAGGTTCCACAGCAGCACTCCGACCACGCGTTGTTCCCGCAGGTAGAATATCACGCCGCGCTGGTAGCGCCGCCTGCGGCCGAGCGACGACTGCCTGCAGTGATGGTTCCTGTCAGTGGGTCAGTGGGTCAGTGGGTCACCCCTCACCTGCCTGGCCACGTGCATCCGGTTGAAGAGGTTCCACAGCAGCACTCCGACCACGCGTTGTTCCCGCAGGTAGAATATCACGCCGCGCTGGTAGCGCCGCCTGCGGCCGAGCGACGACTGCCTGCAGTGATGGTTCCTGTCAGTGGGTCAGTGGGTCAGTGGGTCACCCCTCACCTGCCTGGCCACGTGCATCCGGTTGAAGAGGTTCCACAGCAGCACTCCGACCACGCGTTGTTCCCGCAGGTAGAATATCACGCCGCGCTGGTAGCGCCGCCTGCGGCCGAGCGACGACTGCCTGCAGTGATGGTTCCTGTCAGTGGGTCAGTGGGTCAGTGGGTCACCCCTCACCTGCCTGGCCACGTGCATCCGGTTGAAGAGGTTCCACAGCAGCACTCCGACCACGCGTTGTTCCCGCAGGTAGAATATCACGCCGCGCTGGTAGCGCCGCCTGCGGCCGAGCGACGACTGCCTGCAGTGATGGTTCCTGTCAGTGGGTCAGTGGGTCAGTGGGTCACCCCTCACCTGCCTGGCCACGTGCATCCGGTTGAAGAGGTTCCACAGCAGCACTCCGACCACGCGTTGTTCCCGCAGGTAGAATATCACGCCGCGCTGGTAGCGCCGCCTGCGGCCGAGCGACGACTGCCTGCAGTGATGGTTCCTGTCAGTGGGTCAGTGGGTCAGTGGGTCACCCCTCACCTGCCTGGCCACGTGCATCCGGTTGAAGAGGTTCCACAGCAGCACTCCGACCACGCGTTGTTCCCGCAGGTAGAATATCACGCCGCGCTGGTAGCGCCGCCTGCTGGCCTCGTCGACATCCGCGTGGGACGACGGCTGAGCGACCACTGCCTAAACACGATCATTATATTCATCATTTTCAGACTGTTTAAGTCCCCATTGCTAGGGCACAAGCCTTCTATAAGGAGTTTGGGCCATGAACCACCACGCGGACCCAGTGCGGATTGGTGGATGCTAAAGGCTGCTTTTCCATGCTATTACCATTTTTATGGTAAAAGCATGGCAAAAAAAACGCCTGATGGTAAGACTAGGTAAAATATTACTCGTGGAACCCTAGAACCTCACTCACCGACAGAAACACAACACTATAATACGAATCAACTAAGAATAGGACCGTCTGGACGCCATATTGTGATGTCATAGCTGTCAATTCAAACCAAATAGGTAGAGTGGGCAGAAAAAAAGTTTTTATTTAATAAACCTTATTTACTAAGATTAATTGAGAAAAAGCATCAGATTTTTTCAATAACATTTATTTACTAAGATTGAGAAAACAAAAACCACCGATTTTTAATATTTATTTATTAAGACTGTGAGAAAAAACATTAATCAGAATCTAGCTCTTCTATTCCGCTCATCTCTGCATTACTGCCGGAGTAGTTATGAATAATCATGCACTATTACCAGGTCACATACGAACATGCATCCTTTATGTAAACAAAAGTTTGAAATCGAGTTTCTGAACGCAACTTAAAGTGGCATTTGGTCGACGATTTAGGTTATCAACCATTCATGGCCAAAGCTCAATAAGTAAAAAAATATATATTTATATATATATTTTTTTTTTAAAGCATGTAACCGCTTGATGTTTAAATCTAAAGAAAATTTAACTAGAAAAAATTTCCACGCGGACCAGGCAGCAGACGGGACTTGAACCCGCACCCTTCGCAATCCGGGCGAATGCACTGACCAATTATGCTACCGCGGCCCTCACGGACCGCGTCGAAATTCTTGTAGTCATTCTTAAGCTGCAAGGCAGCGCCATCTCTTCGCATTATGGGTAACCCACAATGTCAAATGTTTTCTAGTTATATTTTCTTTAAATATATATTAACCGATATTAATTATCAATATTTGTCATCGTTTGTTTACTAATGTTTGGTTTTTATTCTTGAATTAGCGGAGTGCTAAAAAAGGGTTACAGGTTTTTTTTTTGCAAACTGTACTTTTCAAGCGACATTTGACAGAGAGAGGCCATTGGCTTTCCTATTCTTATTTGAATCGCATTATACCAAAAGGTACACTTATTGTACTGTAGTCTTCTGTCCGGTACGGGTCACTTCCGCAGGTGGGTGAAAAATCCGCTATGTCCCACCTCTCTTAATAGGGATGACGACTAAATTTTTGAAGTGAAACTTCTTTATCGGCGTTGGAAATAAATTTACCGTCACATTTTTTCGGTTACGCGTCACATTTTTCCGTTACGCGCCATCTTTTTTTATTATATTAATAGTTGATAGCTGAATGATCACACTGTCGCCGGCGAGAACTCTCTCTACTCGTTTGTAGCTGAGTGACAATAGTTATTAAAGATAAGACTCGCTCAGCCAAACTCGCAAAGCGATACTCGCTCAGCGATACTCGCTCAGCGCTTCTCGCTCAGCGATTTTCTCGCTCAGCGATACTAGCTCAGCGATACTCGCTCGGATAAGCTGGCTTGGCTGTCAAAAGCCGTGCGCGTGCATTTTAACTCAGGACTGCCAATTCGTTTCTAGTTTCTACTCGCTTATCGTTCATCGTCGGAGGTGGAACATGTGCCTTAGATTACTGAGCCGTGTAATCATAACAGTTTCATAGGCAGTAATTTGTATTCATGTCTATGATAATAAAATCCTTTTGTTTAAACTTTATCTAATTTAACTTTATTTAACCAATTTCTGGAAAGTTGCATGTAGATCATTTTTCGAAAAATAAGGCCATAAAGAAGTTTCACTTCTTACGTGTGTACACTAGTACACGCACACATTTTTTTTTCTTCGTTTATCAGGTAGATTATCAAAAAGTATTGGACGCGTATTTTTTCTTTTTTCACATAATATAAACATTGCAGAGATATACTGATTTGAAAAGTCGCATGATGTCACGTTTGAGTTCACTTATAAGTGAAAATTCACTCAAAAGTGACGTCACGAGCCCCTACTCCCAAACTTTGACGCGCTATAACTTTGTCATTTTTTGGTTGATTGCCCAAAGAAAAAATACGTGTCCATTATTTTTTGATCATCTTACTGACGGACTAAATAGAATTTCGTTTACTGTACCCCGTCATCACCCCTATTATCATTATATTAGAAAAAGTACCATCATCATCCACCTATTGATGTGCCCACTGCTGGGGCACAAGCCACAACTGACTGAGAATGAGCTATGACCCACAACCGCCGCACACACCCCATAAGGATTAGTAGACGCTAACGACTTCAGATGCAGCCGGAACCGAAGGGTAAACGTTTGAAGCAGTGAGAAATAGCGAGTTTTCGGTCACCCAGCCAATGACCGGCCATTGCGACACGTGCTTAACTTCACGATCGTAGACCCAACAATGCTAACCACCTGCGCAATCGAGCTCCTCGTAAGAAAAATATCTAAGTTAAGTATGTAATGGTAGAAAGAAAAATATTTTTATTTGAGATAAAACAACAGTAAAAGAATATACAGGGTGTGACAAAAGTCCGAAATAAAACTTTAGGGTTTGGTTGTGTTCCTTGTATAGAATTACCTACGAAAGTTTAACGCCTTTCAGACCACTTTTATTTTCTAATTAAATTAATAAAAATATCGTTTTACACCTGCCTATGACAACCCTATAAATGCGTACGATTACTACTACCTAAACAGACCCCCCTCTCTCCCCCAGGCGCCCCTGCGCCCCGCTCAGATACCTACAAATTTTTATTTCGGAATATATACCTACAAATTTTATTTCGGAATTCTGTAACAGCCTGTATAAACAAAACACATTATATCTAACTTTTTTGTCTCAAATCGGTCCCAACACAGCCTGATGCGGATGTTGCCATCAGCGCTAGTCTTCCGTTGGAACCGGTTCAGTGACGACACCAAACAATAACATGGTGGTGTGTATAAACTTGACAATCGCCACAGTTCGGATCCTACTACATGTCAAAACTACGATACTAAAATATATTGAACGGACCTCTATAAACTCCCAAAAAAATCTAAGAATACTAATTAATACATTGAGATGATTTTGAAAACCAAAATATTTAGTTAATGAGGGCGCCATCTATTATCGTATCGTTGTCATCGTAGCTAAGGCTATAAGGTCCATTATTACTTATTTTATTAAAATAAGTTATCAATAAAGTAATAAACAACTTTATTTCGTAATTTTATAACTCTTTAAATTAAGGAATCTTATTTCAATATGTTTTCTTTAATTTATTATAAAGTGAGCGATGTTATATTATAGGAAAAGAATACCAATATGTATAATTTTTATTCTTTTTAAAGCATGTAACTGCTTGATATTTAAATCTAAAGAAAATATAACTAGAAAAAATTCCAGGCATATATTTTCTTTAGATACCCATGTATTTAAATATTTATAGCACAATGATATTTTATATGAATTTCGCCGATTATCATACCTTTACAGCCTGCTCGGGGAGTGGCTCGGCTAATACCCCCGTTTCCGCTTCCGCCCCCGCCCCCACTTCCGCTGTGGCTCCCACTTCAGTGACGCGAGTTTCCGTTTCAGAAACGGCGTCCGCAGAGAAAACACCCACTGTGGGCAGCCGCGAGTCCACTAACCCGATGGCCTGGATATAACGTTGGTAGTTAACCATTTTCGATCAGTTGATTCAACGAATTAATCTTAAATTATAATTTTTATTATTTTAGTTAAAACTAACTAATTAATACGAAAAAGTCAAAATGCGCGTCCATATATATGATACAAATACTCGATACGATACAAGTGCGGGCGAAGCTTGAATATCTTACACTGAACAGATGAATTTGAAATCATAGTTAAATAATATACAAGAAAGGTACATTGAATGACAAAGAAATATAGCGCGACAAGGATCTCTATGAATGTGGTGAAAATTAGAACTGACGTCGGCGTCGGCGTGTTTGTAAATGATAGGGGAAACCACCCCATCATTGGCACCCGTTCTATTGGCACTTATGAGTTTAATTTGAAAAAACAAGGAGATAATAGATTATTCAAGGTCATTACATATTAAAAAGAAAAAATGTGTGCGTGTACTAGTGTACACACGTAAGAAGTGAAACTTCTTTATGGCCTTATTTTTCGAAAAATGATCTACATGCAACTTTCCAGAAATTGGTTAAATAAAGTTAAATTAGATAAAGTTTAAACAAAAGGATTTTATTATCATAGACATGAATACAAATTACTGCCTATGAAACTGTTATGATTACACGGCTCAGTAATCTAAGGCACATGTTCCACCTCCGACGATGAACGATAAGCGAGTAGAAACTAGAAACGAATTGGCAGTCCTGAGTTAAAATGCACGCGCACGGCTTTTGACAGCCAAGCCAGCTTAACCGAGCCAGTATAGCTGAGCGAGTATCGCTGAGCGATAATCGCTGAGCGAGTATCGCTGAGTGAGTATCTCTGAGCGAGTATCGCTATGCGAGTTTGGCTGAGCGAGTCTTATCTTTAATAACTATTGTCACTCAGCTACAAACGAGTAGAGAGAGTTCTCGCCGGCGACAGTGTGATCATTCAGCTATCAATTATTAATATAAAAAAAGATGGTGCGTAACCGACAAATGTGACGGTAAATTTTTTTCCAACGCCGATAAAGAAGTTTCACTTCAAAAACTTAGTATGGTTTCGAAATTTGAAAATTAGTAGTATTATTCCTACAATCTATTGTTTCCTGTTTTTTTCGAAATAAACTCAAAAGTGCCAATAATAGGAAGAGTGCCAATGATTGGGTAGTTTCCCCTATATTTTTTATGTAAATTACGCCATCCCTGAACTAACCACTCGCATATAAAAAGAGCCTTGTCTGCGTGTATACCTACCTCGTACCCCAGGTCGGGCCCCAGGTCGCTCCAGAACATACTCTGGTGCGTGTAGTGGTCGGGCCTGGTGTCGGAGGCCATGTTCTGTCCCGCCAGTCGTCCGGACAGCACGGCATGGTCGTGATGCTCCACCCGGCGCCGGCCCAGCATCACTATGTGCGTGTATACCTACCTCGTACCCCAGGTCGGGCCCCAGGTCGCTCCAGAACATACTCTGGTGCGTGTAGTGGTCGGGCCTGGTGTCAGCATCACTATGTGCGTGTATACCTACCTCGTACCCCAGGTCGGGCCCCAGGTCGCTCCAGAACATACTCTGGTGCGTGTAGTGGTCGGGCCTGGTGTCGGAGGCCATGTTCTGTCCCGCCAGTCGTCCGGACAGCACGGCATGGTCGTGATGCTCCACCCGGCGCCGGCCCAGCATCACGTCGTGGAAGCACGCCACGTCCCCGGCGGCATACACGCCGCCCCGGGCCTGCCCGACCCGAAACATTACCAATATCATACCCCCTCGACTTTATTGTCCAAAAATCTCTTATCTATTAGACGAGTCCGTCCGTCCGTCCGTCCGTCCGTGGTGCTGTTTCAGCGGCCAAACCGTGAGAGATAGATATAGAGAATGTTTAAGTTATAAGTTGAGAATAGTCTGATAAGACTACAAACCGGATGTGAGTAACGTAGCACTTCCGGTTTTCGAGAAATCACGTGATTTCTATTTCAAACGAAACCACACAAAATCTCCGAAGTTCTCAATTAATGAGTTTTTTTTTTTTTGGTGAACATTTGGTTCACTGGTTTGCTAGTCTATACTAATATTATAAAACTGGAGAGTTTGTTTGTTTGAACGCGCTAATCTCTGGAACTACTGGTCCGATTTGAATGATTCTTTCAGTGTTGGGTAGTCCATTTATCGAGGAAGGCTATAGGCTAGATTTTTTTTCAAAATTAGGAATCCGTAATAAAATTGCTATTTTGTAACACAAGGTGTAAAATCGAAAACCTATCTTTGCGTGCGCTGCAAAAACTATTGACAATAGAACAAAATGATGTACTACGGGTTTGTAGATCCCATTAGGACCTACAAAAAAGTCCGCGAGAACATATATCTAGCTATCATGGTTTAATCACAATAACCGATTTTGTGTTCAAAATAATTATTAAATCGTCTGAAGAAAAAAAAACTACGTTAAATATGTATCGTAATATTAAAAACACAAACAACCCTTAATTTTCACCCCTCTACCACCCATATTTTTATGGCGATACGAAGTTCGCTGGGTCAGCTAGTTTGAGATAAAAATAAACGCGGCCTATAAATACAATCGCTGAGATAGAATCTTAAAGGATCCTAAAGGAACTCAACATTTTTCTGGGATAAAAAATTTCCTATTTCTCGATTACTTGAAATCCAGGTCATAAACTATATGTGTGCCCGATTTCATCTAAATCCGTTCAAGCGATTTGCGAGATTATGTAGGATCAGTATGTACTAGAGGTAACGGCAAATCACAGCCAAATAATCTTGCACAGTGGACTATTTTGTATGTAAAATTGTTACTGCACAGGCTACCTTGTCCATGGTCGATGCTCAACAAGTTTGCCGGAGTATATACCCATATCATTATAGCTATTAACGGGATTGTTACCATGTACCTTGTTTTTTATGAGTCTCCGATATTTCAGCACTGTTTCAAGCGCCATGATCATGGCAGGCAACCAATATTTTTGCCATATATCAAAGGAGTGACGGACAAAATCTCGAACATACTTAATAAGTACTCACTGAATACTGTGAAGTATATGGTGTGATAAATTGGGAATAAATGAAACGTCCAACTTACAGCTGACTCCGTCCGTCAATATCATCCCATAAAGCACATATATACACATTAACAGATAGAAGGCGAAGACGGTGCAAGATACAAAGTCCAAGCACAGCACAAGAAGAAGACGATAGGCAATAGATAAACAGTTTATAGAAACGAAAAGCACAATTATAGAAAGCGTACAGATCTAAGTATATAAGCGAGCTAAGGGAAGCGTGCGCTCCGCGTCGTAGTTCAGTCTCGACTGGTTTGGTAGTAGTGATCCGCAAAAAGTATCGATAACTGAGTAGTATCGATACTTTCGTTTCGATACCAAGTATTTGAGTACTCGATACATTTTCTTTCGATACTTAGGTAGGTATCGATACTTCAAAAGTACTTGATACTTTCGCAAGTTCTTTTTTCCCCTCCCCTTTAAAGTCTGACATTTTTCAGCAGTGGGAAGACATGAAGTCAGTATTCCCGAAGCTCTATGCATTGGCACGAAAATACCTTATTGTGCCAGGCACATCAGTGCCTTCAGAGCGCCTGTTTTCTAAAGCTGGCGCAACAATAAGCGAAGCTCGCAATCGTCTTACTGGTTCAAGGCTTCATAAATTGTTATTTTTATCAGATTGTTCAGAAACAGACTGGGGGTTTTAATTATTTCTGTTGTTTTTTCTGTTCATTTGTAATAAACCACTTTTAACTAATCATTTGTCATGTTTCATTCAATACGTTAAAAAGTACTCGATACCAAGTAGTATCGATACTTTTGATACGATACTTATACCGGTATCGATACTTTTAATACGATACTTGGTATCGAGTAAGTATCGATACTTTCAATATTTTGCGGATCACTATTTGGTAGACGGCGCGGCGGCGCGCGCGCATCTCTAGTACATAAAGATGAACAAAAGAATTATGTACAAGACTATCCGCTAGTGCGTAGGGCGTGTCGATAATTGCTATCGATATATCGACAAACCAGTACGCCATGATATGTAATGAAAATATAATATTGTTAATATAATTATAGTACTTATTATAAATTCTATATTAGATATTAATAAATATTATTAGATATAAGATGTAAATATATAGTGTAAAATATTTTGTATTACGGTTTTAAATATAAGTTACTTTGTATTTTATTATAATGAATAAATTTAAATAGTATTTTATGTGTATAGTGTAAATATACTTTGAAGGGTGTATTCACACCTCAAAGTAGCCTACAACTGTATTCACTCCTTTACAAAAAGTGATTTGTAAAGGACGATTGAAATAACCAAACACAAGAATTTCAATCGTGAGGATGTGTTTAAATTGTCAAATGTCTGGAATCCAGTGGTCCGTATGTGCAAAAACCGCAATATCCAAAAAAATGTCGTTCCGCGATCTGTTAATGTGAGTATTGTGTGTCGGGAACAAGTGCGAGTGAATAGTGAGAATGTGACCAATGGTAGGGGTAGTAGTAGGTATCGAGCACAGTAAAAGACGACGTCAGAGGGTAGATCGATATGTCCGCCAATAACATCTACCCGCAATTACATCAGTTACTCCGTGATCGCTGGCGCTTGGCGCTTGCAACAGTGCCAAAATATCGGAGACTCATAAAAACAAGGTACATGGTAACAATCTCGTTAATAGCTATAATGTTAGTGACCATGAAAGTTTAAAACAATATATACCCATATCATCACCGTAAGTCGATAATGTCCCCACTGCTGGGGCACATTCCTTCCCTACGGCTAAAATAGGGGCCCACACGGGCCCAATCCGGATTGATGGGTCATTTGATAAAAGTTTCGTACATTTCGTGTCAAAATTGAAACGTCAGAGTGAAAAGTTGCACTCGAAAGGTAGGTTTGAAATGGAGCCTTCGCCAGCGAGATGCCAAAAAAATGTCCGATGAAACAATACCGGGCCCCTCGACTCGCGCGGGGGAATTTGTGTACGTGCTTTGCATCGGGCTCGGAAAGCAAAATCTTTGTCGATGCACACAAATAACCGGCTTAACGGTAAGACATCGGAAGGGCGTCCAGTTTATATTTTTTATTTATTTATTTATGATCAGCCTACATAGGCCCATAGATACCTGAAATACCTTAAAGTCTAACAAATAAACAGTTTTAGATTAGACAATCTTCTATGGCACTTAACATCAGGTGGGGTGAATTCCAGGACTTCTTTACCGGTTAATTTTCAAACCTAAATCAGTGTCTACCTTAACCTTAAAAAACCGGTTTTCCTAATAAGCGAAATCAAATAGGTTTCGAATCAATTTAGCGGTTTTAAAGGGTTTCATTTCGCTCTTACTGACGGCTGAAATAAATACACAACTACAAAATGAATAACTTGACTCACTAGACGCTAGCAAACGTGTCAACGCATCAATCTCTGAGCATTAACAAGTTCTGACTCGATTAGTTCAAACAAAATAAACTTCAAGCGATGCTGACGCGTGCACGCGTCGCTCTGGATTAAACCGGTTTATTAAGGTTTTAGGTACCGCTTTCATTTCGGACGCGCTCCGAACGAAACCTTTACTAAAAACCGGTATTAACCTTTGTTTACCGGTATTTTATAAACCGGTTTCAAGCCCTGGTGGATTCATTTGTCGGATCTATCTATAAAAAAAAGCTATAGGATTTGTACAAGCCATTTTAATTATATTTTATTAAGTTTGCATTCCGAATCGATGCACTCTAAACTGCTGACACAGTTGACCCACTGATTGGTTTAAGAACAATATTTTACATTATATATCAGTGCAAAAAAAAAATTTTTGGTCCTTCGAGCCGGATGTCAAACTGTAGGGGCCGTTACTAGGACCCTAACGACTGTCAATTTGTCAATTAGTCACGGCACGATTGTCAGGAGATTATTATTAAAATACGTCAATATGATGTGAATGCCTTTATTGCACTGTCATATAATGTAAAATATTGTTCTTAAACCAATTAGTGGGTCAACCGTGTCAGCAGTTTAGAGTGCATCGATTCGGAATGCAAACTTAATAAAATATAATTAAAATGGCTTGTACAGGATCGGTAATGCCGACCTGCAGCTCCGCGTTGACGAGTATGCCGCCCAGGTCGGGATGCGTCTCCAGCTGCGAGGCGCGGGGTAGCTCCTGGTCAGGCTCGCAGCCCACGCACTCCACCACCACGTCGGCCCACACCTGGGACCCGTCGCCCAGCCCCAGCGTCACGCGCCCTTCCGAGCTCGAGCTCGACAGGATCTCCGCTGCGAACGCGACAACGACCAACTCACACAACGGTCACTTCGCATTGCGAAACGAAAGATGCGGGGAGCTCCACATACGAGCAGGTGAATTACTTCGAATCGGTTTTATCGTTCGACGTATCCTGAAAAACCGACTATGTGCGAAGCTAAGAAACAATATAATTTTCTACTGAGATTTTTTTTAATCGATTCAGGAGGATCGGTCCAACTTAACGTTATTCGCTACAAACATACTTGCAAAAGTACATATAAAGTTAGATAAATTTTCTAGATCGAAGGAAAAATCCGAATCTCTCTCATTAGGCATGGAGTTTAACCAATCTGGAACTTTAGGCGCTTTGCAGACGACGGGGCGGGGCGGGTTTTTTGTCCGCGAAGCAATAAAAACCGCGTTTGCCCGTCGATGTCTGCGGCTGCCCTCGCCGCGTCCACAAAGCACACGACGGGCAGAAGCAGTCAGTTCAGGACGTTCGTTCCAGTGAATAGTCCATCACTAAAAAGCGCGTGGCGCGGAGTGAGCCGACCGCCCCGCGCCGCCGTCTGCGTTACTGCATATAAACAGGTTTGCATGATCCACGGCGGGCAGCCGCGGACATGCCGCGCCGCCAGTGCCCGCCGGGCACCCAAGGCGCGCTCTTTTCGCCTGTGTGCATTTGTAGTATAGGATTCACTTTGCACTATCGTTCGCGGCGAAATCGACCGGCCCGCTCCGCCCCGCCGTCCGCAAAGCGCCTTAGATTCTCGAAATTACGGGTAAAACAATCGGTATGAGTGGAGACGGGAGGCTCACTGGAGGGCAGCAGCGCGACGCCTATGTCTGCGAGCCGGCGCGCCGCCTCCCGCGCCAGGTAGGCGGGCAGCACGCCCCACATGGGCGCCGCCTCGCGGAACACCTGCAGCACGCGCGCCCCGCCCGGCCCCAGCCGCTCCGACAGCGCCGCGCTCAGCTCCGACGCCAGGAACCCGCCCCCCACCACCGCCACCGTGGACACCCCCCCCGCCTCCAGCTCGCGCGCCAGCCGCACCGCGTCACCCGCCGACCGCAGCTGCAGCACGCGCCCGCCGCGCCGCGCCGCGTCCAGCGCCGCCGCACGCCGCGGCCGCACGCCCGTCGCCACCAGGCACTTGTCGTACGCCACCACGGCGCTCTCCGCCTCCCCCTGCCCCTCCCCCTGCCTCCCGCTCGCGGGCCGCAGCTCCGCCTCGCCGCGCGCCACATCCAAGCGGGTCACGCGCCACCCGCGCGCCACCGCCGCGCCGCCGCCGCCCGCCGCGAGCGCCGCCACGGGCGCGTAGAAGGCCGCCGGCTCGTACGATAGGCCGCGCCGCTTGCCGTTCCACTGGCGGAAGGTGAGCGCTTCGCTCGCTCGCGCGGCCGCCAGCGCCGGCTCGCGCCATAGCTCCTTGCTGAGCGGCGGTCGCATGTAGGGCAGCGCGGGCTCGTCGCCCACGATGAGCACCTGCGCGTCGGGCCGCGCGCTGCGGATGGCGCGCATCGCGGCGAACGACGCCGTGCCCGCGCCCACCAGCAGGTACTGCACGCGGCGCGGGAGCTCCGCCGCGGTGGCCGGCTCCGGCGGCTCCGAGGGTTCCCGGCCCGTCGCCGACGTCGCGTCGGGCGGGTCGGACGGTGCGAGTGGTGAGCGCTCGTTCAATTTTTTATAGTAGTAAACGCCGCCGACGGAAGCCGTGAGCGCTATCGCGGCGGCGACGGCCCACGAGCGGCGCGGCGGTGGCGGTGGCGGGGGCGGGGGCGGGGGCGGTGGGGGAGGTGGTGCCGCTGCAGCGCCGCCCTGAGTTCCCGGGCTGGCGTCCTGTGTGCTCTCCGGACGGTACTCATCTCTCGTGAGCACGGTCTACCAAATAAGTGAAAATCAACGGTGTTACGGTCGCCTGCCACTAGTGATGTTGTGAACGCAATGAATGCTGTCAGAAATCCAATATAAAGATCTAATACTGAAACTGTACAAGCGAGCTGCGTACATTACATGAACAGGTGTACATCCCGAACGGAAACTCGTTTTGAAGTTTTGTAGTTGAAAATTTTCCAATATTACATTCCCTAAACTGTAAGTGTATGTTATTCAAACTCAAAATATCTTTAGTACAACTCTTTTGAATAGTCCAAAATTTAATTTTATTATAGCAGTGACCTATATTAAAATTACCGTTCTGTATGGTTTTATTTTCCTTGTAGGCTTGAAAAAGATAAAGACACACATCAATTACATAGAAAATATTCATCAGTGTCTATATTTATTAAAAAATAAAAAAATACAACTACCAAAAAATGTGTGTGCATTAATTCAGGTTTTTAAGTGACACCAGATTTTTTTTTTATATCAAAATGTGGCGGCATTCCTTATTCTCCAGGGGGCCAATCGCCTAACGGAAATGCTTTGGAAAACGCTAACGCTTACGATTTTATTTTGTTATTTCTAGCCGCCTGAGGTATTCAAATGCCTCGCGCTCTTTCTTTTTCTTTTGCATTGGTAATAACAATATTAAAAAAAATGAGCGTGAGGTATTCGAAAACCTCAGGCGGCTAGAAATAACAATATAAAATCGTAAGCGTTAGCGTTTCCCAAAACATTTCCGTTAGGCGATTGAACCCCTGGTTGATATTTAAGTATGAAAAATACAATAATAAATTACACTCCTTGATGATAACATTCCCCAACCTTTGAACAATAATTGTAATAATAAGAGTGTCCTACAAATACATTGTTTACTGCCATTGCAAGAAAATAAAAGACAATTCACTGACACAGTTTGATGTTGTGACGTAAAAACTAGACTTGCAACGAATATTCGGTTACCATTTGGTATTCAGCATATTCGGCTGCTTTTATTATATTCGGCCGAATACCGAATATCTACATATTATTCAGCCGAATACTGAATACTTAAATAATATATTTTGTCATAGAGAAATAATTATTAAAATGAAAAATTAAAATCGATTGATTACATATATAACTCATATTTTCATTTCTGATAAATAATCATTTAAGTAGTCATTGGTACATAACACAGGTACATAATCATCTTCTGAATTGGAAAAATGGAGGATTCTGAATTTGAATTATTGTGGTAATCAAAATTTAGAAGGGTAAGGTTCTCATTTCTTTTATAATCATTTATTAAGTAGTCATTGGTACATAAAACAGGTACATGATTTAATCTTTTTCTGTATTAAACAAGTTAACAGTTTTTAATTCATTCAGTCATGTGATGAATGGTTACATAATAGCAATAATTTAAAGTTTACGCGAAGTTTTTGCCCATATCTCAAAAGTTGGTTTTGTCATCATTGGAGGACGGCAGATTAGAACAAAACAAAGGAGCGCGAAACAATCACGTCTACAAGTTTTTGGTGCTAAAATCCAGCCGAATACTTTTGCCTAATATTCAGCTATTCGGTCAGGAGCCTCCCCGAATATTCGGTATTTGGTATACTGCCGAATATACTATTCATTGCAAGTTTAGTATATTTTACCAATATATTTTAGAAGAAAAGACCTAAAAATACATCTTTTACAACCTTATATAAACCTTTACTATGAAGAAATTTTAAGAATTAAGCATGACAATACCCCATAAAATCAAACTATTGTATGGTGTTTATGACCCAAAAATAGTATGAAATTTTTTTTGCTGATTGATAATAAACTAGTAAAAGCTTTCTTAATAAACAAATAGGCAATTGCCTGTTATATCTTTTCCTTGCAGAACTAAATATTTAAAGAACTTTTTCAATATTAATCTTGGCATCAAGGTTAAAAACATGTACCTACAATGATAAAATAAAAATAACTATCTCATTAATTAAAAAATATTCTCATTAAATCACAAAAAACAATGACCCTTTATTTTCAACAAATATCTACCTTTTCTTGAAAATCAAATTTATGTAACATTAAATAAAATGTGGTATAATTAATGTGGTATGAAAAAATGGGTAAATAATTAAAAATCTGAATAAAACACATAATTTCTATATCCCTTAAAATACAAAAATAAAAACTTTACTTCAATGAAATGGGTGTTTGTTTGCCTCTTATTAATTGCCTGTTTGTTTATTAAAAAAGATTTAACAAGTTTATAATCAATCAGCCATAAATTTTCATAATTTTTTGGGTCGTAAATAGTGTCGCCAGGTCCAATTAGTTTTAAATTAGTACATGAGGTCAAACAATTAGGGTTACAGATCTGGACAACAAACAAAAAACAAGTGGTTTTTAAGTCTGGGTTTAATTTATTATGTTTTAAACTACTAGTGCAAGTTAATATTATATAAATTACCTAATATTTTTTTTTTTGATTAATCGGGACAATTAGCACCCCGATTAGGTACAAATCAGGACACATCCCAGGACCCCTGAAAATCGGGTCACCTGGCAACACTAGTCGTAAACAACATTCAACAGTTTCATAGTATATCTCCATACTAACTTCTTCAATTTTCATTCTAATTCAGTGCAATGCTTATCAGTTTTTAAAGCATTTTATTATGATGTAAGAATCTTTGATATAGCTAAAAAAGGTAAAAAAATGTCTTGGGTGTATTTTCTTTTATTTTATGTTTCTCCTGTAAAAAGTCCTTTATGAAGTTTATGACAACTGAAGCCAGAGAGATCGATATGTAGGTATTTAGCAGTTCCAGCTTAAACTTTCAGTGGACCATCTGTTTTAGCGATGCGCGACTACGAATGATTTTACCATTCGACTAATTCGTAACTACTAATTTGGCTATTCGAAAAGCAAATTAGTAGTATACTAATGTCATTATTCCAATAACCACTACTAATTAGTAATACTAATGTCAAATAAATTCGTTATGTGCAATACGTGCCGCCCGATGCCTTCGACTCCAGTTGAATGATTCGTAGAGTCGAACGATTAGTATTATTAAGTCGCGCATCGCTAATCTGTTTCAAACTACCAGTCATATACTCTCAGAAATGGTTTAATGCTGATATTTAAATTAACAGATAATAGTTACCAGTTCTTTTATGTGAGAATATTTTTATGAGGGATTACTACAACTGTATTTGAAAATAGCACTGACTGGAAGGGGCACATGCTGACATGAGGCTATTTAGGCAAAATTAGGTTTTTTGTAATTGTAAATTAATGTTATGTTGGTTTTGCCTAGTAAGTTTAAACTATTTTTTTTAAATAAATATAAAAATGCACTTCTAGGTCAACATAGTAAATATAAGGTCTTACCTGGTGTGGCAGCGGCACTGAGGAACTCGTACCTAAAGCATCAAAATAAACGTTTTGTTTTCATATTTTATGAGTACCCAGGTATGTGCAACATTGCAAATTTCAAGTATCTACCTCGTTTTTGAAATATAAAACTTATACATAATAATAAGAAATAAAAAAGGATTGAAATACTTACGAAATAATTTAAAAACATCTCTTCTGTACGGAGCTAATAACTCGAATGCCTGGGTCTCAATGTAAATACTAGAAACAGCGCGCAACATAGTCCAAACTTTTTCTATCAGAATCAATGAATAAATTCTGTAGATCTAAATCAATAAATTTCCTGTACTTTATTCAACAAAATCATTTCCGTACATTTTAAGATATTTTTATCTTGTAAATTCAAATTCATAAAAGTTTTGTAGGTTATATTTTAGACTGCACTCTATCTTCATTTTTGCTCAATTTTGACATTACTTTGTTTGTCTCTGATTCATGAAGCACTTGGAGACGATGAGACGGTATAAGTGAGAGATGGAGTACGGAGGCTTTTTACCCGGCTGCGCAATGCAAGAGCGCGAAGCGCGACGCGCAGACAGGGTTATGTGTTTAACAGTCTATATATGTATGTTTGTTCCTTTGTGGCACACTAGAGACCAAACGCCTGGACCGATTTTGATGATTCATACATCAATCGATTCGTCTCAATCATGGGAGTGCTACTAAAGATATGATAGTAATCAAAATTCAATATGGCCAAAATTAGGCGCCATATTGTGACGAAGTAAAAAAAATAAGTTGACAAAATATGTCGAGTGGGGTATCACTGTCTAGATAATCAAAAATCCTATTTAGGTTCCTGACACCATTTTTCATTTAATATGATTGTTTAGGATCTACAACGCTTTAAAGTTGTATATTAACCACTTACGCTTTTAATTTCAATCTTACATTTGTATGGATCTTTGTTACTCTTTCACCTAAAATATACTGAATGGATTTTAATGAAACTTAACAGTAATATAGCTCATATATGATAACTACATATATATAATAATTTATGTAGTTATTGAGTGAATTGGCCAATATATAACAATAAGTGTCACATAAGACGGAAAAAATCTCCCATCTGCGAGCCATTTTGGCGTGCATTGCGAAAACAATAAAAGTTACATGAATGTAATGTATAGTGAAAATGTATCTCTTAAATAGTTCTAAAAAAAAGTCCGTGACACCATATATCTATTTTTAATGTGTAAGTCATTACCGCTAAAATAGTGAATCAAAACTAAAATATTATTTGATATCTATTTCCAAAATGCACATTTTGTATTAACAAATAATTTTTTATCAAAACAAATACTTTTATCGCTTTTGATAGTTAAAAACGATAAACTTTGCTTTTTACACTATGTCATTTCGACAAATATTTAAAAAGTTACAACGATGACAAAGTGATAGCGCGGTGTACTATGTAAAAGAAAAAAATGGGCTATTCGCATTATCTGATCCTATACGAAGCACTAACAATAAAACTGTGATACAGTTCCTTCTTATTAAATGATGAAAAATATATTATCATAACAGGTATTTACGATTATTGTACTTAATAAATTTATCTTTGGAAACTGGGACTTTCCCAGATAAACTGAAATATTCAATTGTTAAGCCACTCTTTAAAAAAGGTTCTAGGTTAGAGTTAGACAATTATCGACCAATTACACTAATACCAATTCTATCTAAGATATATGAAAAGATAATGCATGATAAACTTACGTCATTCTTTGTTAAGTACAAAGTATTGAATGATAATCAATATGGCTTCCTGAAAAATAAATCGACTACACTTGCTGCCTTTGAGTTAGTAGATCATACTCTAAGAAGTATAAATGATAGGAAGGAAACTTCAGTCCTTCTATTTGATATGTCAAAAGCTTTTGACTTTGTATCACACAATAAACTATTTTTTAAATTGGAGCAAAGTGGAATTAGAGGTAAAGCACTAAGTTGGATCAAGTCATACCTTCAAAATAGGATGCAGTCAGTGGAAATTGCTCAACTTAGTAATAAACAAGTGATACATAAAGAACAATCAAATTTCACAGAAACTAATTATGGTGTGCCCCAAGGCAGCATTCTCGGCCCTTTGCTGTTTTTAATCTATGTGAATGAGTTACCTAAAGTGACGAAACATAAATGCATCCTATATGCTGATGACATTTCAGTTGTAGTAACAACTGATAAAAATCAAAACATAAATTACCATGAAAATGACATAAATAAAACAATTGAATCGATAATAACGTGGCTTAATGATAACAATTTAAAAATCAATATTAACAAAACACATTATATAAACTACGGTTACAATCAGACATTGAATATACATTATGGGAATCATTGTATTAAAAAAACAAGCAGTGCTACTTTTCTGGGCATTGAGCTTGACCAAAAAATTGATTGGAAATTACATGTAGACAAGGTATGCAATAAAATAAATAGATTTGCTTACGCACTTTTTAAACTTACTAAAACAGCAACTAAAAATACGGCTCTAACAGCGTATTTTGCTTATGTGGAATCGGTCTTGCGATATGGGCTTATTGTTTGGGGAAATAGTACGGACATACAAAGGGTATTTGTAGCACAGAAAAAGTGCATAAGGGCAATATGCTTGATTGCACCAGATATGTCATGCAAACCATTTTACAAACCCCTAAATATTTTGCCTCTGCCATGCCTCTATATCCTGGAGATATCTAAGTTCTTAAGTTAAATCAAAATTACTTTAAAACTGCCCGTGAGATATTTCCTACAAATACAAGACATGGTAAAAGGTTAGTCATTGATACAATCCCGAAAAGCACACGTTTTAAAAAAAACTGTTACTATATGTGCATTCAAATTTTTAATAATATTCCACATTCAATAAGAGATTTGCCTTTCAGTAGATTTAAAATAACACTACGTAGATGGCTCATTGAACGTAAATTCTACTCGGTCCAGGAATTCTTGAATTATGATAGCTAATATATAAATAATAGTAATTTTGGTGGTTGAGATTTTGAGTGACATATACTGATTTAATTATATTTTTGATTCACATTTTAATATGACCTGATTTTAATCGAATTTTTATATTTTTGACTATTTATTTTGTGACCTGTTAAGTAATTTTTATTCAATCATGTGACATAGTATTAATTAATTTGATAAAAAACTGATGTAAATTTGCATGCTACGTTCTATAGCTGAGTAGGTGAAACCTACAGTAAAGTTATGTGTAACTATTTATGACCTTGATTACCCTGTTCAAACGCAAATAAATAATAGGCTAGTTGACCCTTTTTGGAAAAAGGTTTTAAATGATTAATAAATGTTCTATTAGACCGAAAAAAAATGTATTGTATTTTTTTGAGACCTAAAAAGCTACAAATCTTTAATTTTAAAATAGATTTTTCATGGACATACAAAAACGCTATCGGCCATTTTAGTCTATAGATTATCTATGCTATGACGTTAACTGCAGTAAACACATAGAGAAAGGTAAATAAACAAAAACTCGTAAGAAAATAACTGACTTTATAATAAACAAAAGATGATTTCTAATAAATACCCCGAAAAATAAAGTAATTATCATTATTGTATTGTACGAGAATATAAAAACACATCCTTGAAGATTCCAGGAAAGTTGTGAATTAAAAGTGCCGAAAGAAATTAACCTACGCAACTTTATTACACTTATTCATATGTTGTATCAGTTTTATGTTTATTACTACTGTAATACTAAATACACTGTACTTACATAGATGCCTTGTCGTTTCTCTGCTCCGCAGAGCAGAAATCGGGGTTTAGTGAAATAAATTCACCAACCATGAATGCGTCAATTCTTGGCAGATTTGTGCTTTCTGTTTTCACAAAGCCGGCATCCATAATTAGTTTTTTCAAAAAGAAACAGTAAACGGAAACTTTTCTAAAGTTAAAAGTGTTTTATGATAAATTAAGTCAGACGAAAGAATCCACCCACAGTAACACGCGAATGACATTTAGTTGTTTACCATATGAGACGTCACAATCATGGCGGATGTAGCGAATAGCGTTTTTAGTGTTTAAAAAATATAGACCAAAAAATATTTTTTAAAATTAAATTTCTACAGCAATCTTCTGCTTTTATGAAGTGAAATCAATATATTTAGGTTCCTGAGACCAAATACTTTAAGAAATAAACATTTATTTAATACAATTCGACATGAGTCAACTAGCCTATTATTCTATTCTATTCTATTCTATTCTATTCTATTCTATTGAATTTTAATGAAAAACTCTGAATTTTACTGTTTTTCATTTTTTTTAATGATATTACTTAATGTTACAAAAAAGGTTTACTTAATATAATGACAAATAACCCATTTCTCGCTAGTAAGTACATACTTATTGGAATCCCTATATTATTAATCAGCTCGATAATATTGGTTTTGTAATAATTCTACAAAATTCAAAGTAAATAATGTAGATTTTTATAGGTAAATCACCCCTTTCATCACCCTACGCCAATAAGTATTGCGATGTTGTAGCTAAGAACCAAGTTCCCATCTACTTCTATATGGGAATTCATTATATTCGATTTAGCTATTAGGGCACGGAAGCGCAACAAACAAACTCACTTTCACATCTATAATATTATATTATACTTACTAGTGATCCACCCGGGCATTGTACGGGCAAAATTTATTTATCAGGATGAAATATAGCCTATGTCACTCGGACAAAATGTATTTAAATAAAGAAAAATGTGTTAATAAATAATGTAGCTACCTTATGATGAATTAATATTTGAAACCGGTTCAGTAGTTTGACAGATTATTTGTTACAAACATACAAATCTTGCCTCTTTATAATATTAGTATAGATAGTTAGGATATGATAAGTATTTAATTGATGAAAAAGATTTAAAAATAAAGTAAGTAATAGGTTTATTTCATTATAATTGTAAAAGTTACTTAGCATTTGTGCTTAACAGTGATACGTTATTCGGTATTTTTTTAAACAAAAAAAAATTTGGAAAATAATTGCCATGATTGCCCTACTGGGAGTACTCTTCATTCAAGCTTTACACTACCAATAAAAAAGGGTCGATCACAAAGTCTCTGACCTGTTTTAAGTGAACGCTTTAAAAGAAAACTACAAAGAGAACTATAAATTGATAATAAATGAGATTGCTATGGTGCTCTACCTAACGTTATGAAAATTTTATTACGCGCCTTTAGTTTAATCAAATATTATAAACTTTGCTTTGGTGATTGCATAATTATTTAATTTAGTGATCTAAGGCAGTTGCCACCATTGTCCAAAACAACAAACGGGAATTACCGCTTTTTTCAACCTGCGACATAAACGTCATTGATTGGTATTATAGGGTGATTAAAAACATTTGAAGTTAACTTCTGGCATCTACATATTGGGTTTCTGTGAATTATGTGGGTATATCAAATTATGAGACTAGGGACTGACACTGCATTTGTG